TGCAGGTTCTCCTTGCTTTACATGGCAGCATGGGTAGATTCGTTATGTCCCAGTGGCTGTCTAAAAATAGAATATCCCCTGTGGAAGCATCTGAATGGAATGAGCTGACACAAACCCTCCGTGAACTGTTTCATACCAGAGGTCGTAACAGTGGTTTTAACACTCACTATTCACTAAGTGAATCTTCAAGAGATAAACTAAAGAGCATAGAAGATGTGACCAACCCACTTTACATCATAGTTGTTGATATAGGGCTGCTTGACTCGAGCACTGATATATGGAAGGAACAGATTAACTTTCTTGAGAAATTCTCCAGTAAAGCAAAGTTTGCATGGATGCTAGAGCATGATACCTCCAATGTTATAAAGATGGAGCTCCGCCAGAAGGGGCATATTCTGATGGTTAATAAACCATTGTACAAGGCAAAGATGATTCATATTTTAGAAGCTGTAATGAAGGAGAGAAATCTTGAACTCCAGAAGAAAAGTTCAAATGCTACAAGAGTTACCACAAGAGAAGGTGATTCTCATGAATGTCTTGAAATAGCTTCAACTCATTTTGAAACTTGCAGCTCTGATGATTCTGATATTTCTGAACTTGGTGATTCTAATTCTACAAGCTCTTTGCATATTGGAGAGCAGCAAGAGGAAAAGTTTGTGAGATGCAGTACTTCAAATTTCCAAACAAAGAACTGCTTAGTTGAATTCTGTCATTCAGAAGAAAATAACTCATGGACAGAATATATGTCTAATGACAGGCCTACGTTAAATGACATGGGAGATGCTAAATGTGTAATTTCCAGAGGGCCAGATCGACCTTCAGGCAGCAGTGGTAAAGAACAAAGGAAACCATGCCCAAGTAAAGCTATGAATGAACAGAAATCACTTGAAGGCTTGCGGATACTGCTTGCAGAAGATACACCAGTACTTCAAAGAGTAGCAACCATAATGCTGGAAAAAATGGGGGCTACTGTTATTGCTGTTGGAGATGGACTACAAGCAGTTGATGCCCTAAACTGCTCCCTTGACATAGAAGAGGGTGGAAGGAAGCCCTCCTTCCAAGATGGCAGCCCAAGATTTCAGACAGAGATTTGCGATTCCCCTCCGTATGATTTGATCCTCATGGATTGTCAGGTAAGAAATTAAACATCACCTACTTTTATCAATGTTATTATTTAGTTAGCATTTTCTTGGTAAACTAACTTTGAATGCAAAATTCAACCATGATAGAAAGGAATCTCTAACAAAAATAATGCTTCATCAATCTTTTTAGTAGGAGCAAGTTTGTTCAGTTAATTAGATGATGTGAAGGTCCTAATATTTTCTTTGTTTATGATTAAAAAAAAAAAAAAACAGATGCCAAAGATGGATGGTTATGAAGCAACAAAGGCAATAAGGAAATCAGAAGCAGGAACTCGTATGCACATTCCAATTGTAGCCCTGACAGCCCATGCAATGTCCTCAGATGAAGCCAAATGCTTGGAGGTAGGCATGGATGCTTATCTAACAAAGCCAATTGACTACAAGCTAATGGTGTCCACCATTCTCTCACTCACTAAAAGAACACCCTAACTTTCCATGTTTAGCAAAGCTAACAAAGTATGTGACACTATATGTGTCATGCAACTTTGAATGCAAAGGTGGATTTTAGATTCTCAAACCCCACAACTGCATTTGATCTAGATATACAGCTAGCTTTTCCTTTTGAATTCACAAATCAAGAGTTGATCAAGAAAGAGCATTAATGTAACAAAAGGAAATGTTGGCTATGGTAAGGACAATTATCCCCACCACCAACCCTGTATCCATTTCATGGCCAAAAAAACATCAACATGGTTTGTTCCTCAAAATTTTATTGCATTTTTCCCATAAGATTTCATGTTAAAGCCTATGTAACACCACATAACTCAAGAAAATTACATTTTAATCAAAAGAAGATCAAGAAAAACAAGTAATTTGAAATCTATTAAAAGTTAAAATGTATTTTATTAGACAACTTGTGAGATATCACATAATTATTAACATAAAATTTTATTAAAAAATAATAAAATAAACTTTTTAGATCAAAATTAATGATAAACTAATAGTTAATATAAACTAAAAGTGGCCTAGGGTTTCTTAAGTTCTCACTTTGCAATTCTGGATTTTTTTAAGCGAGTTATTAATTATAATATACATATATTTTTTATAATAAGGAATTTTGGGGAAAGGAAATTTGTGTATATAACCCAAGTTTTAAATGTCCAAATACTTTTCGCATGGAGATGGTCAATAGATTATTACGTGTGGGACATATATATATATATATATTTTAATTCTTACATGAATCAAAAAAATCAGCGGCTTACTTGTCTTTTCAATGAAAATGCAAGGGTCTAAGAGTAGATTTAGCCTAGTCTGTTTGGAAACGAAACGACTGTCGTATAAGTCGTCTGATTCAAACAAATTAAAGAAAAAAGAAATAATGAAAAATGAAAAGACTTGTAGCCTAAGTTGCGATTTGCGAAGAAAGGAAAGCTGATACCAAAATCAGATAGAGAAAAAAGCTCAAGAGGAGATTCGACAGAGTAGAAGAGGAAAACAATGGCGAGATACGATAGAGCAATCACTGTTTTCTCGCCGGACGGCCACTTGTTCCAAGTCGAATACGCTCTGGAAGCCGTCCGCAAAGGAAACGCCGCCGTTGGAGTCCGTGGCACCGACATCGTTGTCCTTGGCGTCGAGAAGAAATCCACTCCCAAACTTCAAGACTCAAGGTTCTTAAGTTCTGCCTCTAGATTTTATTTCGCGCACTCGATTCCTTTTTTTTTTTTTTTCCGAGTTAAAGTTAGGGTTAGGTTTTATGTTTCAGTTTTTGAAACGATTATTGATAGAACCAAGTGGATTATAGCAATTGTGAGATTCTTGTGGTGTTCACTTCTTCCATTTTTGATGGGTTGTTGAATTACTGTAGTATGCGATGCTATTTGTATTGGATCGGTAATGATGAATGAAGTTATGAAAGAATCTTTTTGGAGTTTGAAGTAGTGAATGAGTCATGAGGAGCACGAGCAGTAGACTGCTTCATTTAGTGGCACTGCTGTGGGGCACAATTTCTATGCATTGTTTCAGTTAAAATTGTGCTTAACAATCCATCTAATGTGTTTTAAATTAATTATCATTTTGCCTTTTCTGTTCTGTAGATCAGTTAGGAAGATTGTGAATTTGGATGATCACATTGCATTGGCCTGTGCTGGACTGAAAGCAGATGCTCGGGTCCTCATAAATAGGGCGAGAATTGAATGTCAAAGTCACAGGCTGACTGTGGAGGATCCAGTAACTGTTGAGTATATTACCCGTTACATTGCTGGCCTTCAGCAGAAGTACACTCAAAGTGGGGGTGTGAGACCATTTGGTCTTTCAACTCTTATTGTGGGCTTTGACCCTCACACAGGTGCACCAGCCCTCTATCAAACAGATCCGTCGGGGACATTTTCTGCGTGGAAAGCTAACGCAACTGGAAGAAACTCAAATTCAATACGTGAGTTTTTGGAGAAAAACTATAAGGAAACCTCTGGACAAGATACTATTAAGCTTGCCATTCGTGCATTGCTTGAGGTAAGTGTTTTCGTATCTTCTTCTTTTTTTCACTTTTATTTTTATCATTTAGTTTGCAAGAATTTGTACTCTTTTAATTCTAATGGGAGAAATTGTATTGCTTCACAGTTATTTAATCCACAGTAGTCCAGTTAATAGATGATGCATTCTTTCCACATGCCATATGCAGATGCATATGCATTCCTGCCAATAGATAGATTGTTACGTCTTCTAGTTATTCATGGCTTGTTAACTGCAGCAGCTCTTCAAAGGAAGAAAGTTAATCAAATGGAGCCAGACTATAATGATAATTTTATGTTCTGCACTGACCACAAGAGAGATATTGCACCCTAGCATGCCTATGTTCATAGCTGTAGATTTAACAATGTCCACAGCAGTGATATGTTTTTTATTTCTAGACTCTAGATAAATGATATGATTAGTTAACATGTGTAAGGAAGGCAATACTTAGATCATGAGTTACATGGTAGAATAGCTTCAAAATGTCATGTTGATCTGGTAGGCTTGCATGGGTGCCTCAGTTTTTTCAACCCTCTACTGTTAGTCAGTTACATCTTTTAGTATCAGATTGCAAAATGTACGTTGTTGAGAATCATGAGCCTGTGGCACACATACCTTGCTATTTCTGGTAACAATGAGTCACGTCTAAGTCTAATCTAATCTGAATGCCATAATGTCATTGCGTGCAGGTTGTTGAGAGTGGAGGAAAGAACATAGAAGTTGCTGTCATGACTAGGGAACATGGTCTGCGGCAGCTTGAAGAAGCTGAAATTGATGCTATTGCAGCTGAGATTGAAGCAGAGAAAGCAGCTACCGAGGCTGCAAAGAAGGCTCCTCCAAGGGAAGCCTGATACACATAATGTTAACCAACCTTTTCTATTTTGAACTAGTCCTTTGGAGAACAATATTGACATTCCCAGCAGTTGGTTTTAAGATATTTTTCTTTTATGAAGATCAACGGTAGCATGGTTTTTTAATACCAGTGTTCTGAAATTGCATGCAGATGAAGATTGAAACTTGAAATTGCTTAAATTGCATGCAATCGAGGGTGTTTTCAAATTCCTCTTTTGAGATCCCAAATGGTAGTAATTGATAAGTTAACTGAGGAGGGTGTTTGAGCGTGACAAATCGTTGGCCCGATATCAGATTAGAAATAAACTTTAGAGTTTGATGTTCAACACATCTTAGTTTGTCATGTAAAACACTTTTTTAAGGGAAAAAAAGGGCTAATTTTCTCAAATGTTTATGGTTTTATCCATGTAATTTTGGTAATCTG